AAACACTAAAACTAAAACAGCACTATTTGATAGAGCAAATTCTCAGCTACATAACTGTTTTTCAGTGTAGTCAGCACCATTAGCTACACATTTTCACCACTGATGAACACGAGCCTGCATGCTGCACTTGTAAAAATCTGCACCAGTGGAGATCACCTACTGCTGCTGTCATCACTGCTGAAACAAACCACCCACCACCTCACTGTGCCAACATCCACTGTTTGGTCTCCATAAGTTGTCCCTTTCATAATGTGTCAGCTGTTGCTACCTGTAATCAAAATAAGTCATCATTTTTGCAAACACCGGTAAGGTTTTATTATCCTCTTGCAAGACTATGTTATCTGTGTGGTATGTCAGCACTCAGAAGTACATGACAGCTATTCTAGTAAAAAAAAAATAACCAAATAAATCATCTAAAATAACACTTGCAGTGCTTAGTGAAGGCAAATAAGCCCTGCACTCAGAGAGACAAAGAGAGGTCATACAGGTGATGTGCTCATGTCTCAATCCTATCACACAAAAGCAGATCTTAAATGAATACCTACTAAGCATGATTTTGGCACATCAGTACCATAGAGCTGTGTGGGTATGAACTTAAAGATACTCAACATCTGAACACCGACCTGGCCCCTTAATTGTCAGATGTCTACACCATCTCAGAGCATTTTTTGCAATCTATACGCATTGCTTAAGTAACTAATCAATAATTAATAATGCTTTAAGAGCACAGCTACAGAAAGATAGAAAGCATAACTAAGACCAATGAATGCTTTGGTGACCTTGCAAGTGACCAGCGCTAGGTGGGAATCCTCTGATGAAAATACTTATTTAAATCAATATGCTTGAGTTCCAGACTCTTCAAAACAAATCTCTTGAGAAAGGCCTCTTGTGCTTGAGTCTTCAGTGTCCCTTGTTGATCAAGACACCTCATAGAGAGCAGCCACTCTGAAGCCAAGCAATGGACAATGCATCTAATATCCTACCTAGAAAATGGTGTCTTCTTATGATCACCCATGAGCAAGAAAGATCAACTCAGAAGAGAAAGGAGGGAAGAGAACAATTAAGTTAAAAGACTGTTAGCTTGGGAACAAATTGGGATGAAAATGACTATTAACAGCAGCATCAAAATGAGGTGCTAGAAGAGTTCTTTAGCAAGAATAACAAGAAAAAGAAATGTAAGTGGTTTGACTGGATCTGGTTCAGTTAGTTTATGAAAAGAAATATATGGAATATTCGCCAATGAAAATAGGAGACTGAACTTGAGGTCCTTCCAATCCCATGCTCCTAATTACATTTCAGAATTTCCAAACAAAATGTTTACATTATTCTGAAGGGTTGAGGCATTGGCAGTCTTTGCCTTTCTGCACGATCTGTCTGCTTTCAGAAAAAGCCTCAGCCATATGCACATGTCTATTTGTATCTATCTTCTTCATATTTCACATTTATTAGTGATTTCATAGGGTGCATTTCAACTGGTGGTTGAGCTGGACAAAAAGGAAACTGAGTAAAGGACCACAGTGCCCAATACCCTCCTGCAGTCCTTAAAACCTTGTACACAATTGGAGAAACTGCTGTGTTTTCAGAAGGCCAAACCTTTCTCCAGGTCTGAAAGAAAAATGACACATTTCAAACTAATTGGGAAAAAAATGAATTAAATTGAAGTTAGCCTTCCTATTCAGACAGAATGAGAGAAAAGGATAATTAACACTTATGAAGCTGTTGTGGTTTGACCCAGCAGCAGTGGGTTGAGAAAAAAACTCTGTCCCGTGCTTCTATGATTCACTCTCGCAGCACCTCTCATTCATCTTCCAACAAAGACTGTACATTAGCTTCCTGGACTTAACACTGAGCAGGTGTCATTTTCCTAGAAGTAAAATCTGCCTAAATTTGCAGTAGGAATTCCAGTCGTCAGCCTGAGCTCTCAAGTTCAATAAAGGTAAGGGGGCAAATCCTGTTTAATTCTCAGCTACCTCATCTCCGTTGAGCATGTGGTATAGGACAGGGCACATCCTCTCCATGAAGTGCTCTCTCTGCTGGATGAAGTGATCGCTATTTTTGTTACAGTTCTTTTTCTCTTCCTGAATATGGCACGGAGCAGCATCATTAGGATTGAATTACACAGCTCTCAGACATCAAACCCAGAGGAATACCGTTTCAATGACAGAAATTACTGTACATTACCACTTTCACAGATTAGTGCAAAGCTTGTCTCATGATGTGTGTCCTTCAGCTTCAAGGGAGGCTGTTTGAGTCCCTTCTCACTTGTGTTAGTATAAATCTAGAATAATTTCATGAAAGTCAGTTCATAGCATCTGAATATGTCTGCAGCAGGGAACTTTCTGCTCAGGGTTTCTACATACTTCATTAATTTCTGATTCTTCACAGCAGTTGAGCTGCTGGTTAACTTATGAAGGCATTGCACATCTACAAGTTCAAACATTAAAATGGCAGTAACTACACAAAAAACAAAGAAGAAATGTACTGGAAATTCATGAATAGATCTTTTTAGGTAGTCACAGGAAATTATAGCATGGCTATGAAAAACTAATTTCCATCACTGCTTTGTTAAGATGATTCATTTTTCCCCTACTATTTCACTTCTCTTCTGTCAAAAATACTTAGGAAGAAATATCTCCATTTGCAGCTATTTAAACTGAACCTCAGATGTGTTTTCTCTTGGTATGTACAGGAGTGGGCAGCCATATAACTATAAATCCATTTGTGCAGCTCAGTCTTCACAACCTAGGTGCTTTTGTCTTAGCATTTTAATTCTAGTAGCAAATCAACCAGGGTGAGGGGAGCGTGAGATCTGGTTTGCATATTTAATGACCCTCACAACGTTTCCTTTTCTCATTCTGGCACTAAAAATTTTAATCAAAAGCAAAGCACATTACCTAGGCAACTATCCATCCCAACAGACACAAAAGATTTGGGGAAATGACACGTGTTCCTTTCACTTTGGGTGTATATATTAAATGGAGAAGCTCTCTCAGAGGAGCCCCTGTTACCCCAGTCCTAGAGCAGGCCAACGGCCAGCACGGCAGGCAGCAAAACGTTGCTCCAGCTCCAGGCCCTGGCTGAGCAGCACAAACCAAATGAGCTTTTTTTTTTTCCGTGCCAAAAGAACATTCTCCTTTCCTTGAGTTTGATCTAGTTTTGGTCTAGTTTCTTCCTTCTTGGCAAAACTTGCAGAAATAAATCAGGAAAAGCTTTTGGTTTTGAAACATCATCATTTTCTAAAGCAAAGCTACTATGCCATGGAAGTCCTAATAGGTTCCTGAAAGCCACTTGGGTCCTCAGCAGCACACAGAATCATGCAATGCACCAGACCAGTGTTCTCTGCTCACTGCGAAGCAAAAAGGCGAATGAGCCCCACAGAGGGCAGCATCACCTCTGCAATGCTCTTTCCTCAGACGAGGTAGTTATTGCTTGCTTCCATGCTTCCACAGCACAGGGGCTGCACTGTAACAAAAAGGCACTAATGCCACTAAAACACGACTTATTTTGTATGTATTTTTTATTAAAGCATAAAAAGAAGGAGCAACAAAAGCATAGAACTAGTGAGAAGTTTGACGCTGTTTTTTGCCAAACTAGTGCATCACCATGTTTCAGTGGCAGTGCCTGCCATTCTCAGAGAGCTCTCAAGGAGTTCGTCAGAGATTTTTGATGGAATATTATTCTTTCTGTTCTTCATCCTTGACAGTAATTGTTCACAAATGCATGTACTGTCAAGAAGTGATGACATGAATAAAGCGTGACTTTGAACGGAGGGGTATTTCTGTCTGGTCACATAGAGCTTATAAAGGTCTGGCAATGAGACATTGACACCTTGAAGATGCATGTTTAACTTGTTTAAATGAACGGTCAAATTCACCCAAAATGCTGCATCTGTGAACCATTTCTAATATTCACCTTCTGGCTCAGTATTTCCTTTTCATTCCATAGAGGACTTGATTTCACATTGCAAATCATGAACTCTTTTTAGTATTTTACCCCAACTTAGCTACCTTCCTTCGGAAGAGTAAACGCATCCCCTTAACCAGCATGCGGACTTTTAAGGAACTCCTAGAATTGGTGATGATTCAGTCCCACAGACTTCAGGAAACTCCCAGCTTTGATGACAATTTCCACGTCGTTGTGCATTTTTAAAGCTTTTGCACGTCAATTTTTTTTTTTTTTTTTTAATCCTATGCAGTGATATTTCCTCAGATGTCAGTTACCAGTGGCAGCTGCATCATCTTCTGTTAATTTTATAAGTCCCTCTTTTTTACCAACCCTCACCAGGGAACCATCTGTAGCTGTACCAGATAGGTTGACAGATGTTAGTGAGATCACTAGCACCTATGTGCTGAACCACAGGTTAGGGCCCAGCCTTGCTCTGTCTGTTCTCGGTTACTTGGCTGTCAGCATAATGCTGAGGAAACAAGTGGTTTCTCTATGGCTGGAGAACATCTAGGAACTTATGTAGAGAGACTCCACAGAAAAAAAAACCAACAATGGTGAATGATGAATGAGAATGGTGAGAAAACACTGATAGAACCTCTCAACCGGTGTTAGAAATACCTACTGTCAGGGAGACCTTACAGCCACAGAAAAAAGATCAGCTTGTTTGTATAGCTTCTCACCAGCTCCTCACCCCTTTGATAGGGTAAGCATGGGGATGAATGGTGTGGAAGAAAATCTTTCAAATGTATGACTTAGCTGCTTGTGAAACACAAATCCTCGCAGAAAGAAATACCTCTAAAGAAGTAACTTTGTGTTCATCCTATTTCACACAGGTAGAAACAGAATTCCAAGTCACACAGATGGATTCTTTGTTTCCACACACCTTGCTTTGATGCAAGTTTTTGAATGACAGAAGATGCCCATTAACCACAAGCAGATGAGCACATGTGCATAGCATTTAATGCAAACGTACACGTGAAAATGTCACACCCTACTGACAGAAAAAATACTTGAGCTGGACAAGGACAGTAAGTGACAAGATGGCATTATCAGGATAATTTTGCAGCCACTTTTTATTCCAAAAAGTTGTATTTCCGTAAACCTGACATTTCCAAAACAGTGCAAGTGAATTCGAATACAGGTGATCCCGAGCTTCTAAATACAGGTGACATCAATAAGAGTGAACACATTCTTCCAACCACAAGCTCACAAAAAAAGAAATACAGAATTTTACAATATATAAGGAGTGACATTCTAAGAAAAAGGAGTGACGATGATGTGGGTACCCTACTGCATATGCAGACCACACTCCAGAAGTCGTTACAGTCTTCACCCCAGTTTAATCAATGTACAGCATGTGAACCAAATCCTGCTTTTACTTATATTCAAGACACTGTAGCATCTGCATGGATTTGGACAAACATAGAAATTAGTTCTATGACTCTGTTAATCCTTTAGAGAAAGCAATGTTACACATTCCCACATCACATGGATATTAGGCTTGAAACTTGTGCAAGACTCCAAAATGTGCCTATAAAGAGAAGACATTCAAGAAAGTCAGTACTAAATATTGCCAAACACAATCTTCGTGCAACTGTTGCTTTCAGCAAGCTAAATTACTTGCACTTCACTGACATGAAGGGAGCTTCCATCCTATTCATGCAACACGTTAGAAAGGGTTGTTCTTATCTGGTATTTTAGGCTTTGCAAAAAAGAGTTTTTCACTCTGAAAGGACCGGGTAACGGGCATTGAGTTCACAACAGTCCCAATTTCTCTCTCAGATAACACAAGTGATTTCCTAATTGCATTTGAGTAAATTAAAACCAAGGTTTATTCAGAAAACCATACCTACTACTTGTATTAGCAATAATGGCCAGGTACCATGGCATATCAACGGCTGCCTCAGAACACATGAGCCCTTTTGTTGCTTGGGAGGAACTGATGGGAATTCACCTCCAGGAGTAAAAACCTCCAAGAGAAGACCCTCGGTTTCCAAATGAAATGCTCACAAAGCATGCTGTGTAAAATCTCAGCTCTTGGGAAATAAAATTCATCCTGGTGCTGTGGATGACCAAGACTCTGCAAGAATTGTAACTTCCTTTTTGAATTCCATCTTGCAAGATGGAAAGTGAATGGACTTGCAACAGCTTTGCGTTAAGTGAATTCTTCCTTAACATTTTTTTTTTTGTTCTTCCTAATCGTATTTTTCTGACATTACTTTCTTCCTGCCCTAGGAGAACATCAAGATTACTGTTGGTAAGAAAACATTCTACCCATGGCTTTAGAGCTTAAACTAAAGATCTCTCAGGTGCTAGCTTACATGTTTGAAATGAGCTTCCACCTGTGCAGCTTAGAGCCAGCACAAAGTGAACTCTTAGTAGGACAAGAACAAAACCAAAACTAATGACTACTCAGCAAACCTTCAAATGAAGTTGTCCAAGACAACTGATGACTCAGTCCCTAACTGAATTAACTGGAGAGAACCTCAACAATGACTTCCACCAGCTCTGCCAGGCGAGCATCACAGCACAAAGGGACTCAACCAGTGGCTGACACATGGCAACTTCCAGAGCCCTACAAGCTATTTCCAAAGATTAAAAAAAAAAACAAAACAAAACCAGCTGAACCATAGCACAACAATTTTCTATACATTCTTGAATTACACTCCATTTTTGTAAGATTTCTGGAATTGCAACCAACTATTAGTGGGTTCTTTGGTTTGTTTGTGTTTTTCTCTGTTTCTTTTAGGAGTGGAAAGGTCTATCTACGGGATTTTAATATCAGTATTGATATGTTTCATTGTCAAATCTATCTTAACTGGAACAAAGCAAAGAGCTACGCTGGAATTTGAAAAATGAAAGAATTATCATAAAGATTATACATACAAAACCAAAAGCAACTGTGTCAACAAAACTACTGGGAAGCTAACAGCGATGATAATAAGAATTTGTGGATTATTTCACTAATTAGGCCAGTGTCTTGATTTTCATCTAGTGGGGACTTGTGTTGGATCAATAACAGATACTGCACCGTTTTTAACTGTCTTCTTCATATACTTCATATATGGTCAAAAGATCTTTCAAAGAAAAAGCTACTCTTGACTCTTAAAATATAAAAATGAAATATTTTCGGCATGTCTGTTGTTTGGCATTTCTATTGTTCAGTTGTTGTTTAAAAAGTGAAAATGCAATGGAGGATTTTCAACTTTTCCAAGGCAATTTCCTCATTCTTTGGGTAAAACCTCTTCAAAATCAGTTTAAATTCATTATTTGTTTTTCTTGTCCCTTTCACTCTGTTCTCAACAAATCTACTTTTACATCTGCCGTGTTTTTTTTTTTTTAAACTCAGTTTTAGAGAGGACAGATAGAAAAAATTCTTACAGCTAAATAAATGGACTCATTATTTGCTCTTCTGTATATATTTAAGCAACTGCTTACTTAATTCATACTAATTAATGAATTTCATGTCTAACTTTTATCTGGCATTGCTAGGTATTTTAACAGCAGAAAAATAGATGTATTAGGCTTAAATACACCCAGTAAATCTAAATGATGTCAGAAGAGTCGTACTGGAAGGAATTCAACAGTCACTAATGTAATAGGGCTGTCAAAGGACTTCAGCCTTCTGTTTCTGCACTCTGATGCAATCTACTACATGTGGTCATGGCTGGATTGTTTTCAGATGCTATCTTAAGTGATAACTTGCAAGACCCAATCTTTCAAATCAACAATGATTTTTTAGGGAAGATAATCAAATAGACTAACAGTTGTTGGTTTTTTTTCCCAAACACTGAATCAATACTCTTCATTCACTCAAAAACCATTTCCTGCCTAATTGGTGCAGATAGTTAAATTAACAAACACTGATCAATACTGCAGTAATAGCAGGCACTTAATGCCACTAGGAGAGTGGGAGGAACAAACAGGAAACAGGTTAATTTTTTTAAATATGAAACTATAATGAATTTACAAGGAAGAGCAAGGATAAGGCATGTTCTCAAACAGACTTCTTGCGTGTCTTCTGCATTCAGGTTTCCAAACTTCCAGCAGTTCTCTTACATTACCCTAATGCAAGGAGACAGATCCTGCTACCATTCATTCCTTTTATTCTCTCATCTACTACTATACAGCTTCATCATTCTTTCCCTTATATTAATTTTATACCAACACTATAATTTTTATTTACACAAGGTGCAAAGCACAAGTAGAATCTAAAACCAAGCCCCATAGAGACTCACTGTTTCTACTCAGAAACCCAAGAGTTTTTGTTTTTTTTTTTGAAGATACATGGCTGAATTAATTACAATTCCGTGTTTTCCAATTCAACAACTGATTTTATAAGGAACTGCTAATGAATAAAGTGGCAACCTGAGATTCAGTAACATCTGCATCTTGACTAAACTTCCTTAAAACGCCTGATGAAGAATGGCACTCACAGAATCACAAAATGGCTTAGGTTGGAAGGGGCCTTAAAGATCAATGAGCTCTACTGCCCTTCAACGTGCAGGGTTGCCAACTACTAGGTCAGGCTGCCCAGGGCCTCATTCAATGTGGTTTTGAATGCCTCCAGGGATGGGGCATCTACAACTTCAATGGGCAGCTTGTTTCATCAATTCACCACACACTGAGTAAAGAATTTTTTCCTAACATTTAACCTCATTTTTCCATCTTCCAGTTTAAAGCCATTTCCCCTTGCACATTCTATTCTAGGAACACGCAGAAAGGCAATCTCAGGATCCAAAGAACATTTTAATGCGTGCATCTACTTATCTCTCCTAAAGCTATGCTATAAACATTGTGACTCAAGTAGAAAACTCACAAGGCAGGTATAATAGATACAGCATACATCAACTGATCACTTGCTTTTACAGCAACAGCTCACAACTCTTACCAGTAGCTTAAAAGCCATTCTTCTTAACATTAAATATTAATATGGCTCCATTTAAAAAAAAATAATTTAAATTCCAAGGAATTTGTCAATGCCATGGTAGTTGGCCAAATTTTACCCTTTTGGTATCTCAACTGTCAAATCCTGGACCACTCTTAAAATACTAGAGACTGCAAGAGAAAAATTCCCCAATAGAAACATGTCATGCTTTCTTCAGCAATAGAAGGTGAGCTACAAGTCTTGCTACATGTCACTGAGGAAGCATTTTCATTCTTTCCCATTCAGGTCAGTGAAGGATAGACTCATATACAAAACATCACATATGTATAACACTTTAGGTTCTTCAGTTTATAAATCAGACACCAAATTCAACTCAAAAAAAGAGACAATTAAAAGATTTTGGCTTACTGCCATTAAATGGTCTATATACAATATTACCAAGCATTGTGAATTAAGCATATGAGGTTTTCAGCTACTTTGATCTGCAAATCTTCTCTCTTCCATTGAAGTTTAAAAGTACAATAGGATTTATATATACATGTACGCATTCCCAATGATTTAGCCAGATATCAGTGCTTGAGTGAACTATATAGCTATTCAATAGAAACTATAAAACATCGATACAAATATAAAGACATGATCAATATAAAAAGCTTGTATTTATAAAAAATATTTTTAGGTAACAGTCTTCCCCTGAGGGTATACCACATAGTTGGATTCATAAATATTGCTCTGCACTGCAGCTTGGTTACCAAAGTTCAAAGTTCAGCTCTAAAATGAAGTGTAAATAGCTCCAGTCACCTGACATGGCCACAGTGGTTGCCTCAGGATATGTTCCCTAGCTTGTTAGAGTGATAAAGACACAGCATCAACAGGGCCTCCGAAAAATCTGGAGAAGATTCCTTCTTCCACATATGGAAGATACGAGAGCAGGACCTATGGGCAAGCAAGCACGTGTCATATGACTGGGCTTTCCCTTCTCAAGGGCAGTTCACTGATTTTTCTGGACCCAGTCCCAACTATCTTCGGTCTCCTTTCTGTTCTTTTCAGCCTCAATAATTTCTTTGTACCTCCGGCGGAAGAAACCCATCTGCAAATTAAAAAGAAATTATGGTGGTAAGTAACAGCATCATTAGATTGAAACTTATGTTGTCAGAAAATATTGTGAAAAAGAAAGAAAACAGCACCAATGTGAATGTCTAATTTCTGAGCCTGGAGTCATAACTCCTTGTTTACATCAATATGAGATCAAACTGTGTCCCAAATCTTCACGAGTCCTTTGCACACTATAGTTCAACTACTGTAAGTCTTCCTATATGAAACAAAACTACTAAACAAAACCAAACCCAAATATTTCTAATAAACATAGACCAGGAATGGCAGATACAGGGTTATTGCTACCAAATAAAGACTAATGTAAACTTTGGATGTAATCCTAAAGTACAAGCTAGCACTTGGGTGCCAGGTCCAGGATACTGGAGTTTTATGAACTGTGCTCCCATTGTCCACAAACGCATGAAACAAAAGAGATCAGAGGAATTCAGTGAGACCACCTTCACATACCTGCCTTTTTTTAAACTCTTTGAGAAAAGCCAGTACATGCTGTCACTGGTGCTTCATCATGGTTGTGAGATGTTATTTTAGCTCCTGTGTTTCCAGAAGTATCAGCCATAGAAATTACTCTCCTCTTCCTACCAGGAATCTAAATTTAGAGCTCAAGTTTTCTATTTAATGATAATCTGTGTTCAGATGCTTTGGAACAAACAGATAGCTTCAGATTCTTCTTTTTGCTAAATGATTTCCCTTGTCTTTTTGCAAACAGCTGTGTGAAGTCAGAAGGCAAACCAGAAGTTTGATCCTACAAGATGCAGAGCAGTAACAATAACTATTCTTTTTAATTCCTAGACTCTCGTGATTAAAAAAAAAAATAAAAAAAAAAGCTAGCAGTTTTCATTTCAGTTTGTATATAAACCTCTTACATTTCTGTTTTTTGGTGGTTTTTTTTTTCCCTTTCAGATTAACAAAAATGATTTTAATAATAGACCTTGGTAAGTATTCACAAATAACTCCTCAAACTTAGCAGCGCACCATGTAGACAACTGAATCAATATTTTGTTCATCATAATTAAACATTTATATAACTCCTACCACTCCAAACCTGTTTTCTTAACTCCTGCTGAGTAAAACACAATGCGTTAGACTGCCTCTATCAGTCAGTTATTACCATCCTTTATTCCCAAACTGGCCATATGTAGGAATATTTTGTGCTGTTTTATCACTGGTATGGTTCTATTAAGTCAGGCTTTCTATTTTCAGTTCTTCAGCAACTTTAATTTTCTTCAAGTATATTTTAACTCATGGGGCTCTGGAAGACTACTTGTTCAAACTGATGAGTGTGCTCATCCAGCACAGCTTCCTAAATCGTAGAACCACAGAATGGCTTGCATTGGAAGGGACCTTAAAGATCATCAAGCTTCAACCTCCATATCTGCTACTCAGTACATGCAAACACGCTGATAATGGTCTTTCTGTTTCAGGTCCTCACAAAAAGGATGCTGTCAAATTTTGAAGAGCCATGACTCCCTCGCCTCCCAGTGTCTTTAAGAATAGTGTTCGCAGGAACACGGGGGAAGAAAAGGAATTAAAGAAGAGTTTAACTAGTTTTCTGTTCTTTAAACTTGCTCAAAAACAAACAAACAAACAAACAAAACAACAAAAAAAAACCAGGTAAACTTCCATCTCCTGTAGCAAAAAAATAACATCACACTGATTTTTTTTCACTTCTATCTACAGCTCTACCAGTGCAAAGGATGTATTCTGAGAATAAAACCTCAAGATGGCAACATCTTGATCGGACAAGAGGGGGATGTCTTTCAATTAAGAGGGGACATTTAAGTTAGATGTAATTAATAAATTCTTTCTGCAGAGGGTGGTGAAGTGCTGGAACATGCTGCCCCGGAGGCATTCAAGGCTGGGTTGAATGAGACCCTGGGAAGGCTGATCTTGTGGTTGGCAACCCCACACATTACAGGAGGGCTGGAACTAGATGATCTTTAAGGCCTCCTCCAAACTAAACAGTTCTATGATCATAAAATCTTAGTGAAACCTTACCGATGCCAGTGTACTTTGGATCAATGGAGACTTAAAGCTGACAGCAGACTTTGTCCTTAGATTTTCATGCTCCAACATGGAAGCTTTAGTGAATTATTTTATTGGTAACAAAATTAATAAGTTAGAACCTCCTTCCTCCTCTGTCGTCGCCATGTTTCTACCAGTGGGATTCATCGTAGGTACTTATTTTAGTCTTGGGAACCTGCAGATACACCTTACATATGCTCAGGGAGCAGATGTGTCGAAGAAGTGGGTGCCATTTTTGTATTACCAGGTTTTGTAACAGACCGACAAGTTCTGCACATTGAAAATAGAACTGCCAGGGGACTTGGTTTCCTAAGATTAACAAGAGAAGTTCAATTTGTAGCTTTTGAAAACAGGTTTTAAACCCCTAAGGTTTCCATCCTTCATGCTACAACATCCTTGGTTCAATAAAATCCTCACTTGAAGTTATAATCAAAATTATAGAAAGGCTTTTTAATTTCCTCTAGGGCCAAACAAACAAAAGCAAACTCCCACTGTTATTTTAATAAAAATTGTCTGTTTGTGAACATCTGCTTCAGGAATTATCTTTAAAAGTTGGTTATGATAGTTTTGGTATTTTACTATTTCATTACTGGATACAGAATGCTTTTGTATAGCTTTTCAGTAGGGCAAAAAAAGTGAGCTGAAGATATGAATAAATATTAGTGAAGCATGAGATCCAGCATCTACAGGTGATTTCACTGTGAAGCTATGTATGTTCACTTGCTGTCAGTGTTGTGAATAATTCGAAATTAAGTAGAGAGCTTAATTTAAATGCAACATAAATTAGAAACTGGACCTTAAGATTTTTTTATTGGACATTTTAAAAGCAGCGTTTGGGATTGGTTACATTTGCCCTCCCTAAAAGGAAAAGGCATGCTTTGTTATGGGACACTGCTTCTTAGGGTCAACATAGCATGCTTCCACTTAATGAGACAGAGTCCTTCTGATCATCAGAAAGATTTTCTTTTGATGGCTGCAAAGTAATCACAACTTATCATGGCTTCACAAGAGACCACACAGTGCACATATCCGTCTTCTTACAACAAACAGATTTCATTAAAAATGACAGCAATATTAACCCATATGGCAATGGCAGATAAGTGCCTGTGGCAAGCTGGAAAGAACAAGTGAGTTTAACATGCTGGAGAAGGGGTAATAAGGAGGATGACACATGGATAAAAGCCAGAGAAATGGTGCAACGTGGATACAGAGTTTATGCTGTTTCAGTTCACTGGGGCAAGAGTGACATCAGAGACTTTTTGCCTCCAGTATTTTTTCTACTAATGTAAGGCCCTTAAGAGAACTCAGAAATTCCAGGGAGGATAACTGGGACTCAGTGCTGAATTTCAAACAGGGTAAAGAGGAGAGATCGCCAGCTACAGCAGGAGCACTGCTGTAAAGGCATTTGTAGAAGTGGCATTTTCAATGGACCGGTGCAGTGGCCTCCAGCCTGATTCATGGTCCATGATTCTCTCCTATTGTTCAATTCTCCCACTTTTTGCTTTCCATAGAGGCGCATGCATGTGTGTACATATGCATGGATGAATATGGCAAAGGACCAGTCAAGTCCAGACCTGTGAGCCCACCATGCAATGTGCAAGTGCATACCACCACAGGCAAGGAAAGGACTGATGGCAGTACTCTGATCAATAAACTTGTGCCTGGGGAAGGAACTCGTCAGACGAAGAGCAATAGGAGAACCTTATTGCGGGAGGCAAGGAGAGAGTACATGGGAAGACAAAGGGATATAATGGAAGAAGAGCAATCAGCTACCAAAGGCAATGCAGGAAAAAAGCAAACCCTAGTCAGAAATGGGTGAAAATTATCTGAGAAAGCTGAAGAGGACCTCAGTTTTGGGCCTTCTGGGTCAGCGTGGCCAAGAAAAAGTCATCAACAGTGGGACACTACTCAGCTTGCCTCATCCTTTATTCTTAACCCTGACAGGGCTCACCAGAGGGGAACAGCTATGCTGGGGCACCAAGTCCCAGTACATTTTCTCTGAGGGAGATCAAAGTCTTCTGAAATATAGGGATAGTCCCAAAATCCTGGGGCTATCATTGTCACTCCCAATGGAAGTGACATCCCAGGAAGAGAGAGATGGACTGAACTGCCTGCAAACCTACAAACTGCCACGGTTTACATGTCATGATAAATGGCAAAGGAGCGTGTCCTTGCTTTTAAACAAATTCACACAAATTCAGGCAGAAACAAATAAAATGGAAATAAAAAGTTGATACGGTCTTTATCAGAATAGACAAACAATGGCCAGTCCCTTCTGGAGATGCTTCAAATAAGTATTAGAGCTCTGTAAATACGGAACTTAGATTCAAAACCTAAAACCACCCATAGATCTTACACTTATTCTTAACTGAGCTGTTCCAGCCCGTGCACCTTTTTCTAGCAAAACCTTACTGCCATCTACAGTATAATCTGAGCAGAAAGCATGTTTCTGGCAAAACAGAGTAACAAAGCAACAGAAAATCTGTGTTTCTTGTTGTCTGGGGAATTACACCTGTTAGCGTGAAGTTATATCTTGTCACGCGACAGCACTGTCAAGTCCTGAGTATTCAAATCTTGAGTATTCAAAGTCCCTTTCACTCGCATTCTGCTGCCATGTCAGTTCTAAATCATTTAAAATCACCCGTAACACTTGCACAAAGATGCATTCGTCAAGCACTCACACAAACTGAACATCCAAGCCAAAGTAATTCTGAAGTGTTAACATCATCACAAATTACTGCCTTTTTTTTCTGCTGCTACTTTCTGCCCTCCCATCTGTGCCTCCACAGGCCAGCCACTGTCCCAACCTAATGAAGAGTGAAATAAGTGTGGGCTACAGAAGAATGGTAAGATCACATATTTCTTTAAACTAGTCTTTTTCTCATTATTGTCACGCGTTAAGAAACAAGATAAGAGCAGCTAGATCCTCCTTCAAAATAATATTTTAACCCG